CTTGTTAGAAGGTGACAGCAGATCTATCATTCCAGTTGGCCGCATAGAGTGAAGTTGTCTGAGCCAGTGGCTGATTGTCTCAGCAAAAGCTCTAGTGACCTAAGAACCAGAGAAACCTGTTTCCCATGTGACACCCACAAAAAACTCAGTCTGTTTGCAGTTTGACAGCTGATGTTCAGTGTGCCTGCTGGAATTTTGTAGCTTAGGTTCATATTTTAGATAATAAGTGATTTTAACCTTTTTTTTTGGTGGATCTGGGGTTTGAACTCAGCGCTTCTGTCTGCAAATCAGGCTCTCTACCACTTGAGCCACACCTCCAATCCATTTTGCTCTAGTTATTTTGGAGATAGGCTGGCCTCGAACCTTGATCCTCCTGATCTCAGCCTCCCAAGTAACTAGGACTGGTGCCAGGCAATTTTTAAGTATTTCCAATGCTTTTCCAAAAGAATGTTCTTTCCTAAAATTAAGTGGAATTCCATTTTTATTGTATCCTAAAGTCAATACATCCAAATTTGTTCTCTTCAGCTTTTTCCTGGTTTTACCTGTTTTGAAACTGGATAGAATGTGCTTAATTTTGTTGATTTGTCTTCGTGTGGGTGTTGGCGGTACTGGGAATTGCACTCTGGGCCTCATACTCTAACTGCTTGAGCCACGCCCCATGAGCATACTTTGTTTTGTGGCTAGCAGTTGTGAGCACAACAGTAGGACTGAGGCTGGGCTGTTGCTCAGTGGCAGAACTTGCCCAGCGTGCGAGGCTGGGTTCCATCCCCAGCACTGAAAAAAAACCATAGCTTTCACAATTATTTCCCAATAGTTCTAAGACCAATCATTTTCAATCATTTTATCATTTAATAATAATAACTTCCTGAAAACTTGCAACCAAATCCCTCCAGCTTTGGCCAGTGCCTCTGGTATGTTGCTGTCTATGACCCTGTCATCTAAATGTGACTGGAAACAGGCCTCTAACTGAAAGGGATTGGCACTCGTGAGCCCTCAGATTGTGTTAAGGGCCCCAAGGAATGTTCTGGCCTTTAGGCAGCTCAGTTTTGTGTTTTTCTTTATTGATGTTACGGCTTTTTCTGCTGTTCTCTCTGAAGGCTCCTTGTGTTAGCTTCTGGGCTCAGAGCAGGTCAGTGTGAATTCAGATCCCCACCCTGCTGCTTGCCTTGCTATGACCACCCCAACCCTAGTGTCTCCATTTGGATGTTACTTTGTGATTCTGTTGTATTGTGGCTGTTAGAAATAGTGCCGACGATGGGCCTGGTGTGTTTATTTTTTTTGGTGGGACTGGAGTTTGAATTTAGGGCTGCACGCTTGCCAAGCAGATACTCTACCAGTTGAACTACACATGCCATCTATTTTGTTGTGATTATTTGGGAGAAGTGATCTCAAAAACCATTTGTCCTGGCTGGCCTTGACCTTCTAGCCTCCTGATCCCAGCTTTCCAAGTAGTTAGGGGATTACAGGTGGGAGCCACCGGCATCCAGCAAGCAGGCCTGGTATATTTCTTGGTGAAGGCAATAAATGGGGTATCAAAAATAAGCAGTGCTCTTTTGCATTTTGGTTTATTTTGACCTGGATCTGCCACAGCAGTTACCTTTTAAAAAATTAAGGACAATCTTTTTTTTTTGACACAGGATGTCTCTATGTAGCCCAGGCTGGCCTTGAACCCTCAATCCTCTTGCCTCAGCTTCCCAGTTGCTGGGACTGTAGGTGTAAACCATAATGCCTAGCATGGAAGCCATCTCAAATACTAAAATTTCTGCCTTTTTCTAAAAGCTCTTTGGAGAGCCATGAAAGAGAAAATGCCTTGGTGCGTGGTGAAAGTGAAGACTGTTTCCTGAGGAACATAGCCTCCTTTAAAGCAGACCGCAGACTGAAAACAAAATCCCTTTCCATGACCTCAGTTCTCTCAAGCCTGCAGAAAACTCTTAAAAACAGTTTAGTGAAAGCATGTGACAGAAGAAGGCTCCTCCATTCTCTGAGGAGCTTCCTTCCATACTGAGAAATGAATCTGTCTTAACCCATAGTGAGGGCATGGGCTCTAGTTTCTGCCACTGAATCTGCTAAGAACTCTTGAGTAAAAAAGAGTATAAGAAGTTCCAAATATACACAAAGTAGTCAGAAGTTCTTTGAATCCCATGGTTTTTTTTTGTTGTTTTTTTTTTTTGTGTGTGTGGTGGTGGTACTGGGGTTTGAACTGAGGGGTTGACTCTGGCTAGTCAGGTGCTTTACCACTTCAGCAACCCTGCCATCCCTGCCAAGATAGGGTCTTTTGAACTATTTGCCTGGACTGGCTTCAAACGTTGATCCTCCTGATCTCTGCCTCCTGAGAAGCTAGGATTATAGGCGTGAGCAATCAGCGTCCAGCTTCTTCTTCATCTTGTCTTGATGCCAGTGTTGTCTCCAGCATTTGACAGCCAAGTGTGTTGGGCCAGATGAATACAGTGGAGGATTCTGTTTTCTTGCATGTTTTTCCTGGGCCTTGTTGATCCTGTAATCTTTTTCACATTGTCAAAACTACAGGTATACAAAACTATAGGTATATATGGTAGGTATACACCAGCTGGTTCTGGTTGATGTATGTGTTAAAAGTAAAAGATGTCCCTAATTTTTAAAAAATTTATTTATATTTATATTTATTTTTTGGAGGTACTGGGATTTGAACTCCAGGCTTTGCACTTGCTAGCCAGGAGTTCTCCCATTTGATCCACAGCCCCAGCCCTCTTTGCTTTAGGTGTTTTTGTGCATAGGGTCTCACCTTAATCCGAGATCCTCACTTACGCTTCTCAAGCAGCTAGGATGACAGGTCTGTACCACCATGCCCAGCTTCTGTTGGTTGAGATTGGGTCTCTCAAAGTTTTTGCTCAAGGTGACCTTGAACCTCGATTCTCCTGATCTGCCTTCTGAATAGCTAGGATTACTGATGTGAGCCACCTCACCAACTGTTTTTTATTGTAGCTGGGGCTATAGGCATATGCACCTGGCCCCGTTTTTTAAATTTATATACTATAAGATCACTTTAAGTGTACAATCCAAGGATTTTTAGTGTATTTTACATAATTGTGTTTCTATCATAACAATTCAGTTTTAGAACATTTCCATCATCCTCCAGAGATCCCTGTGTCCATTTGCAGTCACTCCCAGCACCAGGCAGCACCAGTCCACTTCCTATCTCAGTTGATTTGCTTTTTCTAGACATACTGTATGATTTCATCCATGGGAAACATCCAGATAAAGGAGCTTTTTAAACTAGTGACTTATGGATGGCTGCTTTCTACATGATGACTTCTTATTTCAGAACAAGCCTTTTCTGCTGGGCGCCCAAGGCTCACACCTGTAATCCTGGCTGTTCGGGAGACAGAGATGAAGAAGATCAAAGTTCAAAGTTAGCCCTAGGAAACTAGTTCATGAGACCCTATGTCGAAAAAAATCCATCACAAAAAAGGGCTGGTGGAGTGGCAGAGTGCCTGAGTTCAGACCCCGTTTCTGGGAAGAAAAAAAAAGCCTTTTCTTTTGTCTGTCTTTTGGAATCAGGGCTTTATGCTTCCAGGGCAGGTGCTTTACTGCTTGAGCCACACCTCCAGCCCTTTCTCCTCTGGTTAATTTAGGGACGGAGTCTTGGCCTTTTTTTTTTTTCCCAAGTAGTTAGAATTACAGGTGTGAGCCATTGGTGCCTGGCTTTTTCTTTTTCTTTTTTCTTTTTTTTAAATTTAAGTATGGTCTCAGCCCAAGCTGGTCTCAAACTCTCATCCTCCTCCTTCAGCCTTTTGAGCGCTGAACCTGCATGTAGTCCTCACCATGCCTGGCAGAATGTGCCTTTTCAGCTGTGCTAGTTAGGTGGGATTTACTGGCATGTGTTGGAGTTCTGGGGGTGGGGCTGTTTGTTTCCACAGTAGCAACCTTTTTCGTTGTCTTAGATTGTGTTTTGAGAAACATCTGGTTTTATACCAATTGCTGTAACAAAACTTGGGAAACTAAACAGAAGCACAAATCCTGCCCTGTGTGCTTTCCAAGATTATCTCCAGGTGGTAAAATAAACCTCACAAACATGAAAACAGCTAGAGCGCAGCAAAGGACACCGTGGGCAAGTGTGTGGCTCTGGAATTCGTGAATCTGAGACGTGTTTATCCAGCATCCCTTGCTGGGCCCCTGCACAGGTTGGGATTGGTGGGCCTGGGGTATAGGGGGTGGTGAGGGGTGCTTGGAGTCCCAGAGGGCATGCAGTTTTGTTTCAGGTGGTTCCTCTGGCCTTGTCCATCTCTGGCTGGCTGCCCTCCAGGCTTGTGTATGCAGAATTATCTTGTGTTTATAGCATGGCTTTGTTTACCTTTGACTAGACTAGAGTCAGATTTTAGAACTCCTTGAAACCCAGGCCCATCTCCATATACTCAGATGGAGTCATGGAAGGTTCTGGAGTAGGGTCATGACATGTGTTGTCTTGATGGGTGGGGGAACTAGAATTAGGAAACTTGATTCTGAGGTTCTTGTGATTTGGGTGTGGAGTGGCCTGCTGGGCAGGGAGGGAACAGAAAAGGTTAGAAAAAGTGCCCACAAGGGTTTGTCTTTCCAATCTCACTTCAGGGTCAGGCTTCCCATGCCTGGTTGGGTGGAACAGTATCAAGAAGGGTCCTGGAGTTTGGTTTTGCTCTTGAAAGTCATGCTTCTGTCCTTGGGGGTTTTGGGCATTGAACTGAAGGCCTTGCACATGAAATCATGTATTCTAACACTGAGCCCACCCCCACCTGTGTGCCTTCCATTATCGGGCAGAATCCATGTGCAGCCAAGACACTGCTGAGTGACTGGGGTGGACTCATCGCTGGTTTTGTCCAATACAAGGGAGGAAGCACCAAGCAGGCCTGATGGCAGCACAGGCTTTGAAAACAGCTCACAGAGGGAAGGCTGTGGTTCTCTGGGGACCTGGAAGCCTGTGGGCCTCCTCCCCTACAGGTGTGTGCAGATCCTTCCACGCAGTCAGTGGGCTTTGATTTGTCTTTCAGACTTCTGCCTAGTCTCAAAGGTGGTGGGGAAATGCCGGGCCTCCATTCCCAGGTGGTGGTACAATGCCACCGACCGGTCCTGCCATCCGTTTGTGTATGGAGGCTGTGAAGGAAATTACAATAATTACCTGAGCGAGGAGTCGTGTCTTCAGAAGTGTGCTGGTGTCACAGGTAAGGCTGTGGTAGTTGGGGAAATTTTACTGTTTAGAAAGTTTCTTTATTGAATGTGGATGCCTTCTGCATGTGCTGATTTTTTCACAGGGAATCTGGGGGAAGTTTCCAAAAGCAGAAGGAACAGGCTTAGCATACAGGTCTCTGTGGCCACATGGTGGTTTCACACGGTACCTGGGGGAGGGTGGCTGCACCATTTTCTGCCTGGTCCCCTCTCTCCCACTTGTGAGAAAGATGTGGTTTCCTGATCCTCTCACACAAGGCTGCCTCTGGTTTCCTGGGCATTTGGGTTATTTTTACTTCTGGGACGAATGGACAGAAAAAGTTCATGCCCTGGAATCCATCCTCCCAGCCTTCACCTTCAAGGGATTTTGTGGAATCCACGGTCCTGTCCTGGCATCAGTAAGCTATGTCATACAGCTTTTCTTTTTTCTAAGCAAGTGGACCACCGCTTGAGCCATGTCCCCCCAGGCTCCCTCTTCCCCAAGCAGCTTTTCTTCCTGACTTCGGTTGAGGCTGGGACTCATGCTGTTTCTGGGTTAGGCCTCTAGCACTCACTGTCAGCCCTAATTCTTGTTAGTTGGGGGCTGTGGTTTTCTGTCTCCTCATTCACTGGCTTTGAGCTGTGCATTTGGAGATAAGCTTATTTAAATTGTGTGTAAGGAGGGGACAACAGTGGCATCATCTGTGACCTCAGATCTGAAGCAGTGCGTGCAGTACAGACCTGGCAGTTTGCTTGTTTCTCAGCAAGAGTTTGGAGAGCTGAGGGCAGGGTATGACTTTACCTTTCTATGACCACTGGTAACCTCAGGAGATGGTGACTGAAGAAAACATCATTCATTGTGTAGCCCATCGTCAGCTATGATTCCATGCAGGGCTGGTGTGTGGGTGGGGTTAGGGGCAGTAGTTTTACTCCCTTTGCTGTGCTGTCCCTGTCTTCTCAGCAAGAGGATTGAAGTGTTTAGGGCAGGAGCAGGAGACAGTGGGCCCAAGCCTGATCCCAGTCACAGGACCCAGGAAGCTTGTTTGTGGGCATCTTGTGTATCTCCTGAGACGCCTCAAGAACCCTATAAGGAGAGCTGAAAACCTCCAGGGCAGCCAGTCCCTGGAGTCCTTTGCAAGCATCTTTCTCAGGTGGGCAAGCTCTGTGGGAGGTGAATGACAAGGAGGATGCCAGCTTATTAATTTCTAATGAGAATTAGAACTGCCCAAGGCACCAGACACCTTAGTCCACGTAGGCAAGCCTCTGAGCCAGATTGCCAGAAGATTGCTTGATGAAGACAGAGGCAGAACAAGGGGAGCTGGTTTGTAATGTGACTATTGCTTGATATCAGGTTAGGCTAGCACCACACCTTTTTACAAGGCCTCCTGGGACCCTATCAGACCAGCTAGCCTCTCCACCCCACCCCTGAACTTGTGTGGGGATAAAATACATCACAAGCTGGACGCCGAGCTGGAGTCCCAGCTACTTGTTAGGCTGAGGCAGGAGGATTGTTTGAGTCCGGGCATGAGAGAGGCATTGCCCCACCCCCCCACCCCCAGACTGGCCTTAAACTCCTAGGCTCAAGTGATCCTCCTGCCTTGGCCTCCTGATTTTAGGTGTACAGTTCAGAGGTATAAAACACATTTACACTGCAATATGCCCGCTAGCCTCTAGTTGTAGATATGTAGATACAGTTAAACAGATTATTTTGCCCTGGAAGCCCTCTGGGTTTTTAAAGAATCCCTGCAGTTGAGCTTTGAGTTGAATCCTTAGAGGTGGTCTTGGTTGCTCATTTCCACATTGCACTGAAGGCTGCACAGAAAGAAGAAATGGGAGCTGATGCAGAGGTGCTCAGGATCCACCTCGACCCACTAGTCTTCTGGCTTTTGTCTGCCAGGCAGCCCTGGAGGTGCCCTTCCTCACTGTTGGTTGTTTGTTCCTTGCAGAGAATGCTGTCGATGATCTGGGCTCCAGCAGGGAAGGAGCAGATTCTTCTGTCCCAAGTGGTAGGTTCTTAAAAAGACCCAGGATGGAGTGAGGGCCACCCAGATGGTAATTGTAAAGAGACACTTGCAATTTGGGAAGTGTAAGGGCCTCCGTCTTCTGGTTCTGTTGGGTCAGAATTGGTAAACAAAGCTCTGTCTGGGTGTCTGGCTTCTGGCTCCAGCATTTTGGCATGGGGGCTGACAGGAGGGTCACAGTTTCTGCAGTGCCTCCTGACTGCCCAGCCTCCTGGAGGACAGGCTGAGGTGGTCACTGCTCCCTGGCTCAGGCCCTGTCTTGTCCTCAGGCTGCTGCCTGCTGTGCTGTCTCGACCATTCCCGCTCCTTGCTGATCCCTGTTGTCATTGCTGCCTTCCTCCCTCTGCTAAGAGTTCTCTATCCTGCCACCCTGTCTCTGTCCACTGCCATCCTTGATCTCAAGCTTTGTGTTAGCTTGCTTTGTAGCACTGACAGCAGCTGCCCTGCTCCTCCTTTATGCTTAAGGGATTCTGCGGCAGGAGCCTGGGTGAGTGGTCCCATGCGCTAGCCGGAGCAAGCACACCCTGGGGGCCCAGCCTCAGGCCATGGGCTCACCTAAGACCTGCCTGCCGTGGAGGGAGGGAGATTCCTTCTACCCCCATCTCTCCAAGGATGAGGTGCCCCAGATGGCCAGTGCCCACACACTGGCCACTTTCCAGTTGCGCTAGGCCAGGACTCCTGTGATAGCCCCACTTTACTGTGCTGCTGGTCTTTACAAGGTTGTCCAGAGCCCTGGGACGCTGGCATGGTAACCCTGGTTTCCAGTCTGTTTGAAAAGAAAATTTCCCAAGGACAGTGAAATTTCTGTGTCAGAAAGTAAGACTAGCTTCCTGATCACCCTGGCTGGGATTAGTTTCCATAGTAACCTCTGAGGTAGGGGGAGCTAACAGTGAGAGTGAGGGGCTTAGGCCCTTAGGTCTGGGAAGTGTTGTGTCCACCCCTTTCTCAAAGGTGACACTGTGTCCATGCTCCTTCAGTGAGCCCTTTGGGGCCCATGTGTCCTGTGTGCCTCCCAGCCTCCTTGACATAGGTGTTTGTGTTTCAGTTCCCAGAAGGCAGGATTCTGATGACCTCTTCAGCGATGTCTTCAACTATGAAGGTATAATGTTAGAAAAATGATGTGTGGGGCAAAACCGTGTTTTATTACTTAGGAATTGAGGCTCACAGGTTTCCTTCAAGGGAATTTAGAACAATGCTTCCCAGCCTTCTCTGGTAATCACTTGCATTCTGGGGTTGGGGTTGGAGGTGACCTCCCTTAGTGGATGCTCCAGGTTGGCAGGAAGTTGTCTCGTGTTAGAGGCATCATGTGTGTGGTTATAGAATTTACCTTCAGCCCCATAGGCCGGGACAGTGCCTGGTACAGCACGACCTCTCAATGAGTAGTCATGGCTGCCCAGAAGATGTCTGAAAATGCTGGGCAGGCTCAGTGGGCCAGATGGGCCCTGTCTGATAGCGAGGCTTTACCTGACTGCAGCTGTGTCTGCTCAGGCACATTTAGCTCAGCTCCATTTCTCCTAGGTCCTGCTAATTGGTGTTCCTTGTGTGCTCTTGCTCTTGTTCCTAGAATACTGCACTGCCCAGGCTGTCACTGGGCCTTGCCGTGCGGCCTTCCCCCGCTGGTACTTTAATGCTGAGAAGAACTCCTGTGATAGGTTCATCTATGGTGGGTGCCGGGGCAACAAGAACAGCTACCTCTCCCAGGAGATGTGCATGCAGCACTGCTCTGGTGAGTGACTGTCAACCTCTGTGCCAGGCCCTCTCCCTGACTCTAAAATGAGGGCCTGGGCAGTGCTGATCTTTGGACCCCAGCTGAGTGGCAAGGCTACAGAGCCCCCAGGAGTGCTGATCCCTCAGGAAAAGTTTCTGTGAGGAAGTCCTTAGGTTAAGGGGCCCCCCCTATGGTTTGTGGCCACCATGAGGGTAGGGAAGGCTGTGAGCTGATCTCGTGGTCATGTGTTCTATTTCAGGCAAGCAGATGTATCCTGCCTTGTCCCCTGGCACCAAAGGTAGGTGGCTTCTTGACCTCCTCCTCCTGCCTGCCATCTATCTGCCTGCCACCTTCCTTCCTTGACCAACTGACTTTGCCCAGCTGTGTGTTCTGCAGACTCATGTTGTCTTATTTTTAGTTGCAAATGTCTGTAGAGGGCTGTGTCTTCTAGAGGAGAATGGCCAAGTAATGTGGAATATGTGGTGGACCCTTGTCCCCCTAGGGCACGTTGTACACAGCAGGGGTAGACGTGAATCAGGAATTCCCCACGCAGTCTCTGCCTTACTGTGAGGCCTGCAGGATCTGCTGTGCACCCGTCTGCGACTGGCCTGGGTTTGGAGGAAACTTTGCTGCTGTGGGGTGAAAGAGTTGGTCACAGGTGACAGGAAGTTAGACCACCATAAGACCCTGCATTGTTGTCCCCAAGCAGTCTGGCTTTAGGAGGAGGAGGCCTGCCTCCTCTCACTTTTATTTCTGAGCCTAATCCTAGATGGTGATATTGACAGAAAGGACCTGCCACACCGGTTTGACCCCTTTCTTGACCTATTTCCCCACTGAGGAGCCTAGGCCTAGCCTGCAAGTCTGCCTAGTTCTAGAAGCTGGAACCTGGGTTCCCAGGGCTGGGGGTGGAGGTAGCTCGGGAATTGATCCAAAGCCAGACCTGAGTTCTGAAGTATGGCGGGAGGGAAGCCAGGTACCGTCACGTGAAGTCACATGCCTTAGAGCTCCACCTGGAAAGAGCATCTTAACTGACCATGAGACCACACTAGGCAACCACTGTCACATTTACCCAGCAGTTAGGGGCTCAAGGGTTCCTCCTGGTGCTGCTTCAAATACACCCTAGCCTCCACCCCAACTTCATTCCACTGGTTCTGCATGGACACAGAACCTTTGGGGCTTCTGTTTACACATATACCAAAAGTAAGCAGTTTGTATCCATGTGCATCTGTTGGCTGGGACTCTGCTACAGGCTGCCCTCAGAGGTAGCAAGGGATAGAGTTGAAGTGGGGTTTTTCAAAAAGAACACAAGGAGCCACTCTGTGCATTGGCATGGCACCTCCTTTTTCCAGGGACTCTCCTTGGTGACTTCTCTGACAGGCTGTGTCTTCTGGCTTTTCAGGTTGGGGAGGGGGTGTCTGGTCCTCACTCACTCTTAAGCCTGCTTGGGATGCCAGGGCCTTGGGGAGCCGCCCACCGGCTGGTCCTCTCTGGCTGTGTGCCTCCTCACCTCACTGGTCCCTTCTCTCTTGTCCCCAGCGGTGGTCCTGGTTGGGTTGTTCGTGATGGTCCTGATCCTTCTCCTGGGAGCCTCTGTGGTGTTCCTGATCCGGATGGCATGGAGGAAGCAGGAGCGTGCCCTCCGCACTGTCTGGACCTCTGCAGATGACAAGGAGCATCTGGTGAAGAACACATACGTCCTGTGAAGGCCTTGGCACCAGGAGACCAGGGGAGGGAGGGAAGAACGTGTGCTTTTTAAAAATAAGAGTGTTTGCTTGTATCTGTGAGATTATTAGGGCTTTAGGTCTGTGTGACACAGGCAGGGTAGGAGGTTGGCACTTGCTGGTTCTGGCTGGGTTTGCTCTGGAAACCTGAGTGGTGCCTCCTTTGTTTCTTTCTGTCCTCCAGGAATAGTCTCCCTGGCTCGTATGGAATCCCATTGCCTCCTTTCTCCTCACAGCACTCACTTAATGATTTCCTTTGTTTGATTGATTCATGCTTTTTTTTTTAAGTGGAAACAAGGTTTTTTATTACGATTCTAAAAAGGAAGAAAGCTACAAGTTTAATAAAAAGGGCCTTCTCTTTTAAAGTAAATTGTAGCATATGGTTTCTTTTTTCATGGGACTAAATTGCAATGTACCAAGATTATCTCAAGACTCGATGTGAGACATCCCATCCTAGGAAAAAGACCCTTTAAATAGCATCTTTCGTATCTTTTTGAATATAACCTACAGTGTACAAGAAGTTTTACACCACTGAGTGCCAGGCAACACTCAGCCTTACTACCTGGGGACAACCCTGATTTCTTTCTTTTTCCCTCCTCTTTTTTTTTTTTTTTTTTTTTCCAGCACTGGGGTTTGGACTCAGGGTCTTGTGCTTGCTAGACAAGCATTCTACCACCTGTTTTTTTTTTTTTTTTTTTTTTTCTTTTGGGTGAGACTGGGGTTTGAACTTGTGGCCTCATGCCTCATACTTGCTAGGCAGGTGCTCTACTACTTGAGCTATTCTTTCTGCCAGCCTTGTGTGTGTGTGTGTGTGTGTGTGTGTGTGTGTGTGTGTGTGTTTTGAGTGTTTTCAAGCTAGGGTCTTGTGAATTATTTGCCTGGGCTGGCTTTGAACAGTGATCTTCCTAATATCTGCCTCCTGAGTAGCTAGGATTACAGGTGTGAACCACAAGCATCTGAAAGCATTCCACCATTGGAGCCATGCTTTTGGCATGGTGTTTTCTTATTCCTAAGTGCTGTGACCCAGTAAATGTCCAACCCCTTAAGACAGTGTTATGGAGGGCATGAGTTAGTTGACTTGTTTTTCTGTCCAGGGAAAACCCTCCTCAGGTCCCAATGGTTTAAACCAAAGTCATTTTGGCACCTACTTTTCATCTCTTGAAAGTCTGCAACCTCAAAGGGCACTGCAGAGGCAGCTCCCAGTCGAGTTTTCCTTGCCTTCATCGGACTTCCTGTGAAATTGAACAGCACTGACTGAATGGAGCCTACAGGCTAGGCCCTCTTCAGCTGTCTGCCTATGGACTTCCTCTTCTGTTTCTGGGTTCTAGAAGCCCCTTTCCTCCCCTCCCCTTCCAGACAAGTAGTACTGACGCTGCAGGCTTGGGGTACTCCTGGGGTCAGACAGGCAGCCTGGGCTTCCCTGCCATGGTGACTCAGGAGGCTGGGCCTGTGGCCCCTGGGAATGGCCAGGTGCACTATGACACTTCCTGACTTGCTTTGGACTCTCCTTGGAACAAAAGGACTTGTGTCCTACCCTCAGCCCTTCCCAGAAACCCCTTAGGGCTTTTTTATTGTTGTACTGGAAGTACATTGTGACATTTACACAAGTGCTTACAATATACTTTAGTTAAACTTGTGCCCCCTTAGAGCTTTTAAATGGACTCCAGAAGCAAGTTGGCAAAGTGGCTCATGGCTCCTTCCCTGCCTCCCTCACCCACTGGTACATGTTGCTGGCTGACGAGTGTCTCCATGCCATTCTGCTGACTGGAGGCTTGGTGAGCAAGCAAAAGCCGCTTGCCACTTTCCTGGCAAATGTGGACCCAGAGCTCTGGGAGGGCCTGCGTGTTAAGAAGAGACCACCTACCACTTTGCAGGTGCCTGACTGGGAAGTCACCACCTCTTGAGCCTCCCCTGTGGTAGGGATTGTTGGGGAGTGCACAGAAGCCAGAGCTGCCCTGGCTAGGCCCAGCAAGGGAGCCTCCCTTTTGCCTCCCACCTGGCCTGTTTCCTTAATGGGTACCATGCTTTTTTTCTTTTGGTGGGACTGGGCTTTGAACTCAGGGCTTCACAATTGCAAAGCAGGTGCTCTACTGCCTGAGTCATACCTCCAGTCCATTTTGCTCTGGTTGTTTTAGAGATGGGGATCTCGCCAACTATTTGCCTGGGTTGGCCTAAACAGTGATCCTCCTGATTTCAGCTTACCAAGTAGGTAGGATTACAGATATGGCTCCTAGCTCACATTTCTGGTTATGGTGTTGCTGTTCTAATCCAGTCAGCTGATCCTGGGTATGATGTTGTGGCCCTGGAGGCCAACTCAAGTTTTCACCTTGTGTGCTGGTTAGTGGCTGATGGTATTTTGTGTTTGGCAGGGGGGAGTTTTGCAAGGGCTGCCTAGCAGTGGGCCAGTAGCAAAAGTATTCACTGGCCATTTCATACATGCCCCTTGTCATTCTCAGGCTGCTGGTGTCAGTGAGAGGTGGGGTAGGCTTTTTTTTTTGGCAGCGCTGGGGTTTGAACTCAGGGCCTCACATTTGCAGGGCAGGCACTCTTACTGCTTGAGCTATTCCGCCAGTCCCTGCGGGGCAGGTGCTTAAAAAATCAACTCAAGTTGGGTGTCAGTGGCTCACGTCTGTAATCCCAGCTACTTAGGAGGCAGAGATCAGGAGGATTGGGGTTCAAAGCCAGCTGGGCAAATATTTCGAGAGACCTTATCTTGAAAAAATCCTTCACAAAAAAGGGCTGGTGGAGTGGCTCAAGGTGAAGGCCCTAAGTTAAGCCCCAGTACAGCACACACACAAAAAAAGTGTGTTCCTGACAGCTCTGCCTAGGTCATTTCTCAGGAATGTGTTTGCAGCCAGCAGGGCCGAGGGAATGTCTCCCTCTAGGACATCTGGCTTGGTGTAACACGGAGGTTCCCGAAGCTTCATACTCCTCATTATGGTGCTGGGGATGGAACCCAGGGCCTCGCACATGCCAGGTAAGTGCGCCACCACTGAGCCATGTCACAACCCGTTAATGTTCCTCCGTTGTGACATAACCCAGGGTGTGTGCAGGTACCCCCCTGGGCCATCCGGGAAAGGAAATCAACACTGCCGCTAACTCACTGGGAGTGACAAAGGCCGCTCCGACCCCAGAGTCTGCACACGGCTGTGAAGTGGTTAGCAGGCCCAGCACGTTAGCTGCAATAGAATAAAAGCAACCCTAAACTGAACAGCCACCTGCCTTGTCAGCTCCATGGCACTTCCCAGAGGTTTTCTGATTATCAGTGTCACAGAACATCAAGGGCCAGAGCAAGATTGGTTATGGTGAAAGGCTAGTACAGAGCTTTTGTCTGATAAGAAAGGAACAGGAATCTTCTGCATGCTGCGTGCATAAGGTCACCATCTGCTGGGATGTGGTTGATTTCAAAGAAAACATTCCAGAACGGGGATTACGATGTTTATGGGACTGGGGTGCTCTGTTCTTGTAAACTCCAGGAAAGACTAAACCTTGCCACAACTGCTTTTCCAATCAACTGTGTTGCTCAGACACATAGGAAGACGAGACCCCCACAAAGGGGAGGCCTGTCCCTTCCAACACCTTACCCCTTTTTCCCTATGGCATCTTGGCTTCCCTGTCCACCAGGGTCAGCAACCAGAACTTTTTACTAAGTCTCAGTGATGAAGTAAAGACCTCACAGTTGGGGTGACCCCTGGAGGGGGTCCGTGTCCTTTAGGTGGTAGAGGATGGGCACAAGGCAACTACTTCAGTATTACTGCAGGCCTATTCTGCCACTGTTTGCTCCTTTCGCACTGAGTCATTGTAGGCAGAAATAACCAGCATGCAACGGGAAAGCAGAACCATTAGGTGCCAAGACCAACAGGAGCTCCTGCATCTGACCTGTGTCCATTGGTGAAGAGAGGATGGGGTCAAGCGAGGCCTTCAGAGAAGGATAGACCTAGGCTACTGTCTCTGGATCTGTTACCCATGTCAGCTGAGAGCTGAATGGCAGGGAACTAATACTTTACACAGAGCAGAGGACCAGCCATGTTCTTGTCTTTGGTCCTCATTCTTACAGCTCTCATGGCAGTACTGGAGTTTGAACTCAGGGCCGTCCACTTGCTAGGCAGGCGCTCTGCCACCATGTGAACCATGCCCCCAGCCACACCCATGATTCTCTGGTTCTCACTCAAGCATTTCTGTGTCCACTTTTCCAGGCTAATTGGCTGCCATTGTAAATCTGGGTTGGGCAGAGTGAAGGAGTAAGGGACACTCACTGCCACCAAAAGCCAGTGGCAATAGACAGCTCCTATGTCCATTCCTCCTTCACTCCAGAAGAGGTACCTGGGTTTTTTTTTTTCCCCCCGTTGGCATGGCTGCCCACCTAGGAGTGATATTTCCCAGCCTCCCTTGCAGTTGGATGTGACCACCTGTCTTAAGTCCTGGTAGATGGATGTGTGCTACTTCAGGTCAGGTCCTCTTAGAAGAAAAAAGTGTCCTGCGTCTTCTGCTTGTCCTTTCCCTTCCCAATAAGTGGGAGACACTGATGATGGGGGCTACCTCCATAGGCAATACCCGAATGCATGCAGAGCAACAAGACAGAAGGAGCCTGGGTCTCTGCATGACCTTGTGGGTCCAAGCACACTCACCAGCTTTGGCCTCCCACCAGTTGGTGCTTTGATGTGGCACCATCTTGTTCAGCCTCCATCTTTTGGTCTCTAAAGGATGCCAGGCTTCCGAGCAAACTCTAATACAACTATGGATGGGAGTCAGGAGGACATGGCCGTGTTTCCTCCTCACCCTGAAACCAGCACAGCAGAAAAGCAGCGATGTCTTCTCACCCTGCTCCATGACCTGCTAACCTTGGGCATGAAACTGTACCATTTTCAGGTCCAAATGCTACAACTGTAACTTGAGGATCCTACGTGCAAGTTTTGTGAGGGTTTGAGAATAATAAAAACTAACATTTGCTGAGCATCTGTTTACCTGTGGCAGGAAGTCAGCAAACCATTTGCCTTATGAGGTGCGTTTCCCTCTTTTCAGAAGGAGAAAATAAGAGGTTCAGAGTGGCTACCTTATTTGTCCAGAGACAGCACTAAGGGTAGGTGAGAACCACCTAGTCAGGCTGCTGCTCTGAGCCGCCATCGGCACCCTCTCTGCCCCAGGGTAACCTTGTTGACTCACACTGTCTGGGTGATGAGCAAAACAGAAACACACTTTCTCTTCAATCTGCACACAGCTGCAGGCATAGCCACAATCATTGTTTACCCCTTCCCCTCAGGGTGAGGAAGATCTCTAATTTACAAGTCCCCAACCTGCCCTGCCTCACCTTTGCTCTCTATCTCCACCAACCTCCTGTTCTTTCACATTGACTTCCTTCCAGGTCCTGGGACACACAGGCCTCAGGGCCTTTGCACTTGCTAGCCCTCTACTTAGAACATTCTACCTCTGTATCTTAGATGGACTCCCAGCTACTATGAAGGAGGTGATGGTGGTGGAGGATTGCTAGAGGCCAGGTATTTGAGGTCAGCCTGGGCAACAACCCTAACCCTGTCCAACAGAAAACAAACAAAAAATGTAAATGAGTCTTTCCATGGTGCCTTTAAAATCCAACCCCTCCCCAACATACCACATAATTATTATCTACTCCTCTTTCCTGCTCTATTTCTCCTTGTTTTGTTGTTGTTGTTGTTGTGACAGGGCCTTGTTGTTACCCAGCCTGACCTCAAACGATCCTCCTGCTAACTTCCCAGATAGCTAGCTGGAACTGCAGGCACACATCCATCTGTATTTCTTTTAAAAATATATGTATTATCTTTTTTTTTTTAGTGGGACTAGGTTATATTGGCACTTGCAAAACAGGAGCTCTACCACTTGAGCTACACCTTGAGTCTCTTTTGTTCTGGTTATTTTGGAGATGGGCTCTCTCAGCTGTTTGCCTGGGCTGGCCTTGAATATCAATCTTCCAGGTCTCAGCCTTCCAAGTAGCAAGAACTACAGGTGTGAGCCGCCCACGCCTGGCTATGAATTATTTTAAAACAAAAAACAAATTAGGTAGGAGAACTGAGAGTTCAAGGCCAGCCTGGATTACATAATGAGACCCTGTCTCCCAGTCTGACCTGAGCTGATCCAGGGGAGGCAAGGCAGGACTCAACTGGCTGTCTCTTCTGCTTAGAGTCCCCCAGGATGTGACAAAGCCACACTGCCTGGGTTTGAATCCTGGGCTAAGTCTCTGTGCTGTTGCCCTTGTGATAAGTCACCCCTCAGTTTTCTCATCTGTAGAACAGACTAACAATACCTCTTTTCTTTCTTTTAAAGACTGTATGTGTATGTAGCTCAGGCTGGCCTTGAGTTTGCCCTCTTCCTCCTTCAGCTTCCTGAGTGCTGGGATTATAGATGTGCACCACCCTGGTAATAATACCTACTGTTATAGCCAGGTGTGGTGGCACACACCTGAATTCCAGCTACGCAGTAGGTAGAGGCAGGAGGATCTCAAATTCAAGGCCAACCTGGGCAAAGGTAGCTGCAAGACCCTGTCTCAAAAACAAAAACAAAGGGCTGGCAGAGTGGTTCAAGTGGTAGAGCACCTGCCTAGCAAGCGTGAGGCCTTGAGTACTGCCAAAAACAAACATCACCACCACCAAGAACAAAAAATGACTGCGAGTGTAGCTCAAAGTGGTAGAGTGACTGCCTAGTATGTGCAAGACCCTGGTTCAATTCCCAGCAACACAAACAAGAAAAGCCAGGTGTTATGGACTGCCTGTGCCCTCAAAATTCACACGTTGGAAGTAGGACCTTTAGGAGGTAATCAGACCACAAAGGTGGAGGTTTCTGGAATGGAATTAGTGCCCTTAATGTCTTATGGGTATGCAAGGCACCTGGCCTTGGGCTCCCAGCCTCCAGGACTCTGAGAAAAAAGTGGCTGTTTAAGCCATACCGTCTATGATAGTGTATTTGTTATATATATATAATATATATATATATTGTTTTTTTAATAGCAGCCCAAACTAACACACCTGCTTTTGCTATAACAAAACCAAACCCATTCTGTCATAAGCACTCACTCAGTCCCAGGCACCCATCGACTCTCACATCATTCTAGGCCAGGTGTCATTTACAGATGGGCTGAAGCAGCCACAGCTGGACCTGGAAGCCAGCAAGCAGCTACGTCTAGTCTGGCCTCATTAACCCCGGGACACTGCTTCTCTAGGCCAGAGCAGGACTGATGGTTGCTACAGCAGGCAGGAGAACCCACTGTGTGTGCGTGCTATATGGTGGCATAGGGAGGGCTCTTCCCCCGCCCTTTCTGGAGGGAAGTTGATCACAGTTCTCAATCCTTTCCCCAGAAATTTGCAGCTCCCCCCAACTCCCACCCCTAGCCAGAGCCCCCTCCCTTGCCAAGGCAGCCGGCAGGCCGCCAACCATCTCCCCTGCTCCCATTTCCCACAGAAAGACTGGGTGAGGTCAGGGGAGGGCGGTGAGTCAGAGCTAAAGAACTTCCCGCGGGGGACAAAGGTCGGGAGGGTGGCACTCCTCAAAATTCCGGGGGCGGGCAGATTGGGCTGCTCCTCCTCCTAGGCACTGCTTAAGCCCTCCTGGTCCTGCAGACACACCTCTCACCACCATGGAGTTTGACCTGTCGGCAGGTGTGCTTCTGGTGTGGTGGGGTGTGGTGTAATGGTGACTCCAGACTCAAGTCCAGGGGCCGCCAAGGAGGCCTGAGACACCCACTGAACTTCTCTTCTCTCTGCAGCCCTGGACTCCACTCCCAAGAAGCCGGAGGGGCAGGCCAGGTGGGAGACCCCAAGCACAGTCCCCCCAAAGCTCAGGGCGGGCCAGAGGCAGGCGCAGCTCAGAACCTAAGGGTAAGTCGCCTCACCACCGGGCACACCCCGGGGGGGTTGGCTTTGGTCCTAGCGCCTTGCGCACCTCAGCCTTCCAACCTGGGGCGGGGGGCTGGATAAGGCGTCCCTGCCCTCACTGTCCCCTCCCCCGCATCTAGCATGGCCACGGCAGCTCCTCAGACTCTAGCAGCAGCAGCAGCAGCTCCAGCGACTCGGAGGCGGAGGGCAAGGTAAGGGGCTGGCCACGGTCAGGGTCAAAGTCGCCGCGCTGGGGCGGGTGGGCGCGGTGCCCACTCCCAGCCGGGCCATCTCTCTTCTTTCCCGCCCGACCCCCTCGGCCCACAGCCCCATGCTGCCGGCTGCAAGCAGCGTGAACGCGCCGCGGACAAGGCCAAGAAGCCCAAGGTGAAAAAGGAGAAGAAGAAGGGCAAGGAGGCGCCCCACTGACAGCGGGCGGGCGGGCAGGGCCATTAAACCTTGGAGCCACGGTTCCCAGTGTCTGCTCGCCGCTCGCGGGCGCCCCCTGCCGGTCACCGCGCCCGCCCCGCCCCGCCCCGCCCCGCCCCGCCCCGCCCCGCCCCGCCCGCGAGCCGCTAAGCAGCGGAGGCCCAGCAAGCGCATCAGGTTTATTGTTTCCGCTGTGCAGCTGGAGACAGACGTCAGCACCTTGGCGGGGAGGGGGTCGCGGGATGCGGGCGGCCCGGGCGGGCGAGATGAGTCTGCGGGCGGCGGCTGGGGGCGGGGCCTCTCACCGCACCAGGTGGAAGGTGAGCCAGTACATCAGCAGGGGCTGCGCCGCCGCCACCGCCATGGTCAGGTACATGCGCAGCTGGTTCCGCGCCCCGCGCACAGGCACCCCTTCTGCCGCGGCCTCGGCCAGGATCTTCAGCCGCAGCGTCCGGATCTGGGGGGCAGCGGGAGACCGGGGTGAAGGGATGCAGGCTGGACATACTGCTAGCTTCCTGGGCCAAATCCCGCCCCTCTGCAGCCCCCAGTTCATGCTCCTGGGGACCCTGTGAATTCCTCCTCCCCACGCCCCGTGAGCAACATAGAGTTCAAGACTCAAAGGCCCCAAGTGAGCGGGGGACGTCAGAACACCCCGTCTGAAGCAGCTCATGTTCCTCCTTATATTGGCCAGATGGCTTTTTTTTTTTTTTTGCCATTCTGGAGATGGATCCCAGGACCCCACACATGCTAGGCAAGCTTTATTCTACCTCTGAGCTACAAGCCCAAACTTCCAGATGACAATTTTTCTTTTTCTTTTTTTTTTCTGGAGGCAGGGTTTCACTATGTAGCCCAGGCTAGCCTTGAACCCAAGATCCTCCTGTCTCAGCTTCCCAGAGCTGGGATTACAGGTGCGCCACACCACACCCCGCTTTGTTTATTTATTTTAACTTTTAAATGATGACATCAGAGATTTTTGCCTGTGGGTCAGATTTAGTCCACAACCGCCAGGGTTTGCCCTCTGCCTTTTACTCATGGCTCGCTCTGAATCTTCCCAAGACCCTGAAGTACAGTCATTCCATTGTCTCAAATGGGAAAACTTGGGCCTGGAGGAGTGGGGCAAGCAGTAGAGCACCTGCCTAGCAAGCGTGAGGCCGAGTTCAAGCCCCAGGACTGCAATGGGGAAAGAGTGATTTGCCCTGAATCCAGTGAAGCTTGGGGTCATTCCAAGACTGGAAGTCCCCAGTCCCCTTAACCAGCACCCCTACTCCAGCTGGAAGGATCCTCTGGGAATCTCCTTCCAAGAACATTTTGGTGGGGAAGCTCAGCATATAAAGGGAATAGGGCTGGTGAAGTGGTTCAGGGAGGTAGAGCACCTGCCTAGCAAGTGGGAGGCCCTTAGTTCAAAGACCAGTAATGTGTAAGAGAGAGAGAGAGAGAAAGAAACAGCCCAGCCTGGAGCCTGCATGTTGGGTATCCCTAGTTCCCAGCACCCTGGCTGGCTCTGCTTCTATTCCAGGCCCCAGCTTGGACACCCCCTTCCCTGCTAGGCCCCACAGCTCACTAATGTGGCACTGGTCTAAATTCCCTAACACCCTCTACTCCGCTGCCCCAGGGAGATAGCCCAGGAGGCCCGTGGCCTCAGCCTCACTGGCCCTGAGCCCCTGCTCACCATGAACACAAAGATGGACACGCAGCACCAGCCCAGCACCAGGTAGTAGCCAATCTTCCCGAAGAGTAGGCCCATGAGGACCCCACCAATCATCCTGTGGGGAGGGAAAGGGGAAGGCAGGTCTGAGGAGGAGGCCAGAGGGCTGGGGCTGGCAGGCAGGTTAGGGGGTACTTACCCAACATATTTATAGCCTAAGAAGGCCACCAGGTCGATGGTGGTGAGGTCAGTGTTGACAGTGACCAGGTAGAGGCTGAGCAGGATGGCCAGGACTTCCACGGTGAGCCAGGCCAGCGCGGAGCTTGCCTGTAGCCCCAGGAGGTCGGGGGAGAACCTGCCAGACCAACACTCAACCTGACACCCAAGTTGTCACCTGGCCATTGGCTCAGACCTCCTCAGCATCACCTGAGACATCCCTGTGTTAAGGGGCACTGGAGACCCAGCAGGGACCAAGATGGATCTGGGCTTGTCCTCATGGAGGTCCAAAGCAGTCCTGTCCCCAGACAGTAACACCCCAAGCAGTCAGGGCTGGGATGGGGGAACAGGAGGGAGATTCCTAGAAGAGGAATGCTGAACTGATGCCTTTAAGAGTAAGGAGCTGGTGGAGCCTCAGGACCTCACGCTTGCTAGGCAGGCACTCTTACTGCTTGAGCCACTCTGCCAGCCCTTTTTTTGTGATGGGTTTCTTTGAGATAGGGTCTTGCAAACTATTTGTCCAGGCTGGTTCCAGCCATGATCCTCCTGATCTCTGCCTCCTGAGTAGCTAGGATTACAAGTGTGAGCCACCAGCACCCAGCTAATCAACTGGTTCTGATGACACGTGTTTTCAGTGCCACAGAGGAAAGGAGCAGGGACTAGGAGAGGTGGGGGCCTGACCCAGTCTGGGGTGAGGAAATGACACTAAGTGGTAGGCAGGATGAATGAGCAGGTGCTGGGGCAAGTGACTTAGGGGAGGAACATACTCCTCAGTCAGGGAAACCGATGTGCAAAGGCCCTGAGGAGACCTGGAGATGGAGAGAGGGGACTAAAGCAGCAGGGCAGGGTGAGCAAGGAGTTTAGGCAGTGGTAGGCTCTGGGTCTGGGAGCTGTGGACAGCTGGATGGCACAGGCTGTTCTGGCTGCTGCTGTATTGAGGGTGAGGGGGTGAAGGCAGGTTTTTGAAGGAAGGGTGAGGATGAGGACAGAACTGGGATGCAGGCCAAGAGGAAGGGTGAATTTAAAGGGTGTCCCACCACAGGGTGGTGATGGGCACATGGGTGGGAGAGGAGAGGGATGAGGCAAGGGTGACATCGAGTGACAGGGCTGTCTTGGGCCAATTGGAAACAAGGTGGGGCTGTTCTACAAGAGGGGAACCTTCTTTTGAACTCAGGGCCTCACGTTTGCTAGGCAGGTGCTCTACCACTTAAGCCACTCCGCCAGCCTGAGGGGAACCTTCTTGAGCAGCCTGTGGCCCTCCACCCCTTGCCTACCCTCCTGCCCCAGGCCTCCCTTACCTGTCCTGGGTCCCTAGTGCAAGGCCAGCTACCAAGATGTAGGTAATGAAAGCCATCGCTGTGGGAGGCAGACACAGATGCTGGTCAGAGGAGGAAGGGCCATCTTGGGTACCCAAACCCCCTGCCCCAGACCTGCCCAGTCAGAGGGAGGAGGGGGTGGTGGAAGAGGTTGGGTGAGACCTGGAATGTAGAGGTCTGGAGCGTTGACATCAAAGCGTGGGGCCACTGGGGTGTCCTGCTGGTACTGTACCTCCCAGTCCTGTGGGGAGAACGGGGGAGTGGGAGGACCCCCAGAGCAGGGCTCTCCCGCCCTGCTTACAGGCCCAACCCCCGACCCCCAGCTCCAGCCCCTTGGTTGGTGGTGCTGACCTGGTGCAGGTAGGGGAAGACGAGCAGGCCCAGCTTTTTGCCTACATACATAGTGTCCACAGCGAAGTAATACTTGAGCTTGGTGACAGGGATAAAGCGGTCAATCTGTGGAGGCAGAACTCAAGCCTGAGGCTCCATGACCCCTGCCTAACCCTAACTCCCACCAGCCCCCGCCACTTACATTCTTGTCCACTAGCTCCTTGCCCTGTGCTGCCAGGCTGCTCCCGTAGACCATGGCCATGTTGGACACAGGGTCCGCCAGGAAGGTGGGCTGGGGCGACACTGAGGCAGCAGGGTAGCCCAGGCCTCCAGGTGCCCGCGGGGCCCCATAGCCTCTGCTCTGGGAAGAACTTGTGTCATCAAAAAGCTGGTGGGGGTCAGCCATGCCCGGTTGGGACACTGGGACCCTTCGCTTGGAGGCTGTGGGGAAGAGGGCAGGGAGCTCATTTACTCTGCAGTTCTCCCTCCTGCTCCCACCACAGCTAGGGGCAGTGTCACCAAAAGAGAACACTGGTTGTGATGTTAGATGGGCTGTCAGGTGCCTGCCATCTGTCCATCCATCCAAATAACACGATGATGTTTATAACTACTGTCCTACGGTGCACAAAATCCTGTACCAAGCCTATTACAAACAAGGTCTCTGTCCCCATCTCCTTCCAGACTCTTCCTCGGGTTCATTTGCCTCTCAGTGCTCACCAGACACACCTAGCAACTCCCACCTCAGGACTCTGCACTACCTGTGCCTCTGCTGTGCTCTCCCCCCATACCGTCAGGACTCCCTCCTGGTCTTGCTGAGTGGGGCCTTCCTCCACCATTCTATCTACATCTGCTCCTCCCTTTGCAGCACTCCCACCCCCAATTCCTGCTTCATGTATGTACTCAAACTCAGCACCAGCCAACAGTGCCTTTATTTTGTTCGTTGTCTCTGTGAGCCCGCCAGGGTGAGGAACTTCACTGTGTTCACAGATCTGGAGAAGGCTCTTGATACGCACCTGCTGAATGAATAATGTGCCACCCCACTTTACAGATGCGGGTAACAAGGCCCAGGCAGCTAAATGACTTGTGCAAATAGTCACACTGAGTGACTGATTGAGCAGAAGTCCAGCCCAGGGCTGTGTGATAAATATTGCGATCATTAAACCCTGATGGAGGCTGGTGGAGTGGCTCACATGGTAGAGTGCCTGCCTACCAAGCATGAGGCCGAGTTCAAACCCCAGTACCACCAAAAAACCTCCCCTCCCCAAAACTCTGATGGAGCTCTTTCCTATGCCAGGCCTCAGGTGAAAGACCCTGGCTTGACTCATTTAGTCTCACAACTAACTCATTTCCTCTGATGTTATTATCACCTCCATTTTACAGAGGAGAAAAGTGAGCTCAAAGAGGCTCAGACCCAAGATAAGAGGCACAGCCAGTTTCAAGAGTTTGTAAAAGGCTGGGGCTGATGTGTGGCTCAGTAGTACAGCACTTGCCTGACATGCATGAAGCTCAGAGTTCCATCCCAGGTGCCATAAAAAACAAAAACAAAACCCCACAAGTGTTTGCAAGTTTCCCCTGGCTTCATGGGGAAAACCAATTGGTGTGTGTGTATGTGGGGGACAGGGAGAGAAAGGAAAGGAGGCTATGAGGTGGCCTAGGTAGGGAACCAGGATGAACAGGGAAAGGTGGGCAGAGAGATGAGCTGTTTCTGGAGAGTTCTCCCAGGTGTGCTCTGCTAGGGTACAGAAACTGGGAGGAATCAGTGCTGTCTTCCCAGTCTCTGGTTTGAGTAGTGGAGTGGTTGGGGGGTGCTGTCAGTGGGGATGGGGAAGACTCAGGGAGTACTATGGCTCCATGCCCTGAGCAAACACAAAGCATGTCCTGTGTGCCGAGTACTACTGCTGCCCGGGGGACAATTCTCTCCTCTGTAGTATGGCGTTAACTGTTCTGCTGGGCAGGGCTGGTGTGAGGCAAAGTGACAGTCACAAACTGCTCAGAGTCACAAAAAGGTGGCCAGTCCATGTTACTTATCAATTATCAGCCTACAACTCTTCCTCTCCATTTCAGGCCATTTTTTTGGAGGGGAGCAGTGCTGGAGTTTGAACTCAGGGCCTTGCACTTGCTAAACAGGTGTTCTAAGACTTTGAGCTATGTCCCCAGCCCTCAATTTCTTTCTTTTTTTTTTTTTGATGGAGCTAGGCAAGCACTCTACTTCTGAGCTGCATCCCTAGCTCCTTCCTGTCAGTTGCTTTTTTTTTTTTTTTTCTTTGTGGTACTGGGGTTTGAACTCAGGGCCTACACCTTGAGCCACTCCACCAGCCCTTTATTTTCTTGTGATGCATATTTTCAAGATAGGGTCTCTCAAACTATTTGCCTGGGCTGGCTTTGAACTATGATTCACCTGATTTCTGCCTCCTGAGTAGCTAGGATTACAGGTGTGAGCCAATGGTGCCCAGCATGTCAATTTTTTTTTTTTTTGTAATTTGGAATCAGACAGATCCAGATAGTTTCAATCTCAAAGCAAGCTGCAGAGGCCCTATGTCCCTCTCCCACTGCTTCCTGAAAGTCCAGTGCAAGTCTTCCTCCTTCCCTGTCACTCCCTCAGCCCTTGGTATATGGGGTTCTCTGTCACCTGGCCTCCTAAGTGCCTGTCTACACTGTCAAGGCCTTGGCCATTGTTCCACTCTTACCTGACTCAAGTCCTCATCAGGATTTGGTGGTTCTGCCCCAAATGCCAACCTCCAACTCTCTGTTTCTGCAACACCAACCATACCGGTTTCTCTTACCTATATAACCTCCCTACTGTAGGCGCAGTGGCCACTGCAATGGATTAAAAGACAAATGCAGCAGGGATCCAGTGGCTCATGCCAGTAATCTAGTTACTTGGGAGGCTGAGATCAGGAGGATTACGGTTCGAGGCCAGCCTGGGCAAATAATTCACAAGATCCCCATCTACAAAATAATGAGAGCAAAAATGGACTGGAGATGTGGCTCAAGTGGAGGAATGCCTGCCTTGGAAGTGCAAAGTCCTGAATTCAAACCCCAATCCCACCAAAAAAAAAAAAAATTTTTTTTTCTGCCTTTGTGAAGCTAACGGTCTCCTGATTGGTCCCTTTCCAGCTCCCTGAAATGTGTGACCCAGTTTTCCACCCTTGCCCTCATTTTCTGCCTGTCACCTAGAGCAATCTCACCCATAGCTGCTCTTGCAGCCAGTGTGCCTCTGGCTTCTGGGCTCCATCTCTAGCCACTATTGGTCTCTTGGCTCTAGCCCCAGGTCTGGCCACTTCTAGAACTCCCTCTGGCTGCAACCTGGGCCTTATCTCTGTGTCCAAACTCCTGGTTCCCCTCTGTCTGATATCCAGTCAATTGTTTACCGGTTTGCCTACTGGGGCCCAGTGTTACCCTCCCTGCTCTGAGACTGTCATCTCCCACCTAGTCTCAGTCCCACCAACCCTCTCTCCACTGGGTGGTCTATGATACTTTTAAATAGAAATAAATCATATCCCTCTCTACTCACAGTACTCATTGTGCTGAGAACCAAATCCAAAAGCCTCCTAGGGCCTGTGTTACCAGGCCTTACCAGCCACCCACCCCAGCCTCAAGGTCTCTCAGGCCCTGGCCCTGGCTCTGGCATATTCTTTGCATCCACAGGTTCTCTCAGCCCCCCAGTTCTGTGGATTAAATCCAGGCATGTACAAAGTAGTTAAGCACTATACCACTGAGCTACATCCCCAATCCTTTATTTTTTATTTTGAACAGGCTTTCACTAAGTATCCCAGGCTGGCCTTGAACTCTCTATCCTCCTGCCTCAGCCTCCTGACAGCTGGGACTACAGGTGTGCACCACCACACCTGACTCCCCACAGACTTTTGACATACAGTGCCATCATCTCGGAATACCTTCCCTCTGTCAGTGCCTTCAAATGTCCTACTCGAGTGACATTTTTTTTTTTTTGGAAGTATTGGGGTTTGAACACAGGGCCTCACTCTTGCCAGGGCAGGCACTCTACCACTTGAGCCACTCCACTAGTCCCCATTCAAGTAACATTGCTCAAATGCTTCTTTCTTGAGGCCTTCCCTCTCATCACCATCCTCTTCTGGGTCATTCATCAAAATTAGATGTATCCTCTTCCAGGATGTGTAGACATTGAAGGCTCCAGGCCTCTGGGCTCCCACAACGCCTCTGTCCCAGCCCCAGTGCCCCTTGCCTGTGCCTCTGTGTGCCTCCCCTGAGCTTCCATAATCACAACTGCTTACTCCACCATCACCATGTGCCAGCAGCTCCATGTGGACAGAAGCAAGCACCATTGGGCCACTGCTGTATCCCCTGCACCCCCCACCACAGGGCCAGCCGGGCACCTTACTAATACTGGAGGGAGAAACAGCACATCAGCTTCTCCCTGAAAAGAGAGGTTGTCTCATGTCCTACTCACATCCCGGATTACTCTCTGTACATCCCTATTACTCCCCAAATGATCGTGCTGAATTACTTCCTTCCCACTTTAGTGGCTGTCTTCCCCCTGAAGCTGTAAGAAGATAGCACGGGTCAGTGCTATGTTGGTTACTGCTGGGTACCCGAATTCCAGCACAGTGCCTGGCACAAAGGGGAGTGCTGAATGAATAAATGAAAACCCACAGCGCACGTATGGAGACAAAGAGGAATCTAAAGAGACACAAATTCAAAGTTGGGAAAAGGAGGTTAGCAGTACAATAAATACAGCTTCAGATCTTAAATGAGGGGTAGACGTGGCTCTACCCTCTCACGGAGGCCACGAAGGCCCTACTATGGAGCGTGCGCGACAGCTCGTGGGCACTGGGGAGCCACGGAAGGGTGGGGAGCGGGGAAGGGCAGATCGCCAACTGCAAATGAATGAAAGTCGCGTTCTCTGCACTTCACACACTATCCTAACCCCAAGTTGTTTTCATGTAAAGGAATTTCCTAAAGAATCTACCCACAATGCCCCCTACCCGGACCTGGCATCCCTGTGCTGTGCGCACCTCGAAGGTCCAGATCTTCGATCTCGTGACCTCCGACCTGCAGTGACCTCGCTAACTGCCGCTACGGTCCCGCCACGCCCCTGCCCGCCCGAGCTCCTCGGCTGGCCACGTACGCCACTTACGCAGCCGGGGCGTCCCCGCCGCTGCCGCCAAGCCTGCCGGGTGCATCCTTTGCCGCCACCGCCGCCGCCGCCGCCGCCCCAGCAGCGTTTCGGAACGTGCCTGCCGGGCTCCCGTAGCCACGCCCCACAGATGACGACTAGCCAATGAGCCTCATGATTGCGCGAGAGAGCCACGCCTCCTCCCGGAGGCCTCGGATGAGTGGGCGGTGCCTTGCGTAAGAGGGCTTAATGACGTAAAACGAAAGGCGGGAACTGAAGGGCAGGGGGAGGGGCCTGGGGTAGGAGTAGGCGGTGTCAGGCAAGACGGAAACGTAGGTGTCAGGTGTAGAGCGAAGAGGTTGATGGGAAATGGAGTTCTCTACAGGCAGGCACTCGATTTGGGTGGCTGAGAGCATTGTGGAGTCAGAGACAGGTGTGGGACCGCAGGGGAGGGGGCGTGGGAAAGATGCACTTGTGTTTCCCAAGGGCTGATCTGCATTTGTGGGCTCAAACGCTCATCCAATTTTGGCACTCCTTAGGTATTAAAGTGAATATTTAGAGTGAGAAAAGGACACCCAACAAGTTAGGTGAGAAGAACCGGTATCTTTCTTGGAAGATGCGTTTAGGCAGCTGCCCAGAAATTAATAAAAATGTTCTCGCGTTGCAGCTTGTCTTCCTCCAAATCCATTGTCCACCAAAGACGCTCTACAGTACATGCCCTAGCAAACTGCAAGTGTAGAGCCCTGAAAACTAAGACTCCGCAGTCTCTCCTCTCTCTGTGTCTCCGTGTCCCCTTTTCTGTCCCTCTTAGCTCAGGCAAAGATAATGGGTGGAAGCTACTTTTGGGCGGCGATAGCATTCCGGAAGAATATCAGCAAGTGACCCTATTATTGTGGTTTCCCCTTGCTCCTCTGAGATATTTTTTCTGGGACCTCCTGATTTCTCAGAGATGAGTCCTGCCTCAATTGCCAACTTTTTTTTGTGAGGTATTCCATTCCTTTTCACCTATGGATTAGCATCTGACCCTTAGACTCCACCACCATTTTCTCCTTATACTCAGCCCTTCCTCTTGCTTCTAGATTCATCTCTTCTGTGACTTTTGAAAAAAATTAATAAAGCAAGTTGGGCAGAGCAAGGCAGTGCACGCCTGTACTGGTGAGGTGGAAAGAAAGAATCCCAATCTGAGGACAGCCCAGGCAAAAGTGGGAGAAAGAAAGGCAAGAGACAATTTTGGCCTCCTGCTGGCCTCTTGTATGACTATAGTCATCTTTAATATCTGTGAAGGACTGGTTCCAAGACCTCTGTGGATACCAGAATCCGCAAACATTCAGATCCTTTATATAAGATGTTGTAGTAAATACTGTCAGTCATTACCTGTATTTATATAAACTATCAATGCATTAATATATAAACAAATCATATACGTATATACAGATATATGTATACATATTCTCAGTGCTGGGGATCAAACCCAGGGCCTCACACTCTCTAGGCACATACTTAATACTTCCAGCCCCTTAAACAATTCTGTATTACTTATGATATCTGTCATGTGATATACATGCTATCTAAACATTTGTGGGTTTTTTTTTTTGCTGTACTGGGATTTGAACTCAGGATCTTGTGCTTGCTAGGCAGGCACTCTACCGCTTGAGCTATGCCTCCAGCCTTGTTTTTCTTTTGAGAATAATGACGTGGAACAAATACGTGTACACATTCAGTACAGATACAACTCTCGTTACAAGTATTTCCAGTCTGCAGTTTATCAAATTCACAGAGGGCTTCACACTTGAAAAGCATTTGCTCTATTGCTTGAGCCACACCTCCAGTACATTTTGCTCTGGTTATTTTGGAGATGGGCCAGGCAGGCCTTGATCCTCGATCCTAAAGTAGCTAGGATTAAAAGCATGACCCAATGTGCCCAGCCCAGTTGTACAATTTTTTTTTTGGTGGCACTGGGGTTTAGAACTCAGAGCTTTACAACCTTACAAGGCAGGTTCTCTACCACTTGAGCCACTCTATCAGCCCTTTTTTATGAAGGGTTTTTTCAAGATAGGGTCTCCTGAACTATTTGCCTGGGGCTGGCTTCCAACCATGATCCTCCTGATCTCTGCGTTCCGAGTAGCTAGGATTACAGGTGTAAGCCACTGGTAGTGTACCATTTTTAAGCCTAAATTTTGTCATGTGTTTAATGAGAATTATATGGGTGGGGTTGAGGATTCAATGCAATGTGTCCCCAGGCCTTGGCACATTGGAAGTCCCCGATCACAGTTACTGTCTTTATTATCAGGTGTCTCTTTCTGTGAGATTGTCAACCCCAAATAGGGCTCTGTCCCAAGAATTGCCACAGTTTTATAAATAGATCCAGTTTTGCATATCTGGACTGGCCCTAAGCCCCATTCCTCTGTGGGTTCATTGTGGTCAGGATTCTGGGCTGTCCTACAGAAGGCTGCCAGGAGGGTGCTGAGTTCTGGCCACAGAGAGGTGTGGAGAGATCCCAGGAGGAGACAGAAGGGAACATACCTCCACCCCTGCCTTTTCTTTTTTCTTTTTTTTGCTACTGGGGTTTGAACTCAGGGCCTACCACTTAAGTCACTCCACCAACCCTTTTCTTGTGATGGGTTTTTTTTGAGATAGGGTCTCTTGAGCTACTTGCCTGGGCTGGCTTTGAACCAGAGTCCTCCTGATCTCTGCCTCCTGAGTAGCTAGGATTACAGGTATCAGTCACCAGCTCCCAGCTGCCTCTTCTTTAATTTAATTTTTTTGTGAGACCCTCGTTGTAGGCCAGGCTTGCCTGGAACTCACTGTGTGTCCCAGGCTGGCCTTGAATTCAAGATCCTCCTGCCTTACACAAGTGCTGGTAATACAGGCAGATACCACCAAGCCCAGTGTCAGCCCTCCTTCCTGAACAGAGGCATACATTTGCGATTCTGCCAAGAAGAGACCCTGGGTCACTTCTGGTCACTCTTTATGTCTCAACTAGGCCAGTCCTTCTTTTTCTTTCTTTCTTTCTTTTTTTGTTTTGTTTTGTTTTGTTTTGTACTGGGGTTTGACCTCAGGGCCTTGCTCTTGCTAGGCAGGTGCTCTACCACTTGGCCATACCCCAGCCTTTTTTGCTTCAGTTATTTTTCTTTCTCTCTCTCTCTCTCTCTCTCTCTGGCAGCACTGGGGCTTGAACTCAGGTCCCTATGCTTGCTAGCAGACATCACTCTGCCAGCCTTTTTTGTGATAGATTTTTTGAGATAGGGTCTTGCAAACTATTTGGCAGGGGCTGGCTTCAAACCTCCTTCCTCTTGAGTAGCTAGGATTACAGGTGTGAGCCACCGCGCCTGGCTTTAATTATTTTTCGAATAGGGTCCCCGGTTTATGCTGGCGGGGCCTGGACCACAACCCTCCTATTTGTGCTTTCTGAGTAGCTGGGATGACAGGTGCGCACCACCACCCCAGGCCTAGACAACCCCTTGTTCAGGAAACTCTCCTGATATCCCTAAGCTGGGCCATCACTTTTCCGGATCCCAGGTCTAACCACTTATTTTGAGCTGTCACACCACCGAAGTGTCCGTCTTCCCTCTTAGACTGGGTGCAAATGAGGACAGGAGGGCCGAAGGCTGTCTTGGTCTCTGCTGTGACCCCAGTACTACCCAGCACGAAGTGGGTATGAGCAAAGACATGGTGAATAAACATCCACACTCTGTGCACAAAGGCAGAGGGGACACCTGCCGCCTTTGTAAAGCAGAAATCCTTACCTGGTGAACTTACTAACCTCACTCCAGGGCGCATCTCTTGGCGGATGGAGCAAAAACTACAGTTTTTTTTTTTTTTTTGGTACTGGGACTTGAACTCAGGGCCGATCTTCAGCCACTCCACTGCCCCCCTCCTTTTTTTTTTTTTTTTTTGGTGATGGGTTTTTCGAGATAGGGTCTCTCGAACTATTTCCCTGGGCTGGCTTCGAACCACGATCCTCCTGATCTCTGCCTCCTGAGTAGCTGCGATTACAGGCGTGAGCCACCGGCGCCCGGCTACAGTTGGCTCTTCACCGCCTCCCGCCCCAGCCACGCGTCCGGATGCAGTGCACAACTTCAGCCCGTGCGCAATGGCCCTGAAGAGTTGGGGGGAAGGAATTCACTCTAATTTAAGGAGCTAGAGGCAGAGAGAGGGAAGAAATGTGGGGCAGGGACGAAATCCCCCACCCTTCCATCTTGTGGGCGTCCTGGCTCTGAGAGTGCTGGGCTCCACCCTCTCTGTCCTGTACCAACACCTGGTGGCTGGGCGTGCCTCAGTTTCCCAGCGCAGGGCGTTCCTCCAGCCCCGCTCCTCCCCCTTTTTCCTCTTCCTCTTCGGGGCGTCCGGGGGCCGAGCCTCGAGCTGCCGGAACTACAAGCAGGCGGCGGGGGCCACGTCAGCGGGCGGCGGGGCAGCGCGGGTCCCCGGCGGGCAGCATGCGGCGGGGCGCGCTCCTGGCGGGCGCCCTGGCCGTCTACGCCGCGTACCTGGTGCTGGGCGCGCTGCTGGTGGCGCGGCTGGAGCGGCCACACGAAGCCCGGCTCCGGGCCGAGCTGGGGACACTGCGGGAGCAGCTGCTGCAACGCAGCCGGTGCCTGACAGCGCCCGCCCTGGACGCCTTCGTAGAGCGGGTGCTGGCGGCGGGACGACTGGGGCGCGCCGCGCTCGCCAACGCCTCGGGGTCCGCCAACGCCTCCGACCTCGCCTGGGACTTCGCCTCCGCCCTCTTCTTCGCCAGCACGCTGGTCACCACTGTGGGTACGTGAGTGCTGGGGAGTGACCGGGACCCCCACCTGTCCCCATCCCTTCGCCACCCAGGAGCCCCCCCCAGCAACAGGATCCGATCCCCACCCCCCCATCCAAGCCCTCTCTCCTAAGCAGGAAGCACCCCACGTTCCCTCCGACTAGTGGGGCCCCAGACTGTCCTCAGAGTCCAGCAAGGATCCGCGACCCTCCATCTGCCATCCTACCCTCCTCTCTGGCCCTGGGGCCTCAGCCACACCAGGACCCCTGTCCCTATCCCTGGGCTGCCACACTCACTCCAGTGTCTGGGCCCCACGCCGCTCATGGTGCCATCATGGTAAGTTTTCCTTCAGTAGAGAGCCCTGGGCACGGACCCGGGCCTCATCTGAGGACTCTTTGGGCCTCAGGCATCCTCCCCAAGGAGGCCCAGACTAACTCCATCACACCCCTCTCCTGGTACAGCAGGTAATTTTGACTCCAGATGGGACCCACCCCATCTTGACATTCCTCCCAACTGGGACACTGTCCCCTCTGGACCTGAGACTCCCAATTCAGCAGCCCTAATAACTGTGTCATGTGTGAATTATGCACCTTTGGAGGGGGGCCCATCACCCTCCAGGAAGGACCACCTGCTGTCCAACTAGAAGCCCTCCCCAGCCTTTTGGTCCCCAAAACATCTCCAGAGAACCCTGTCCACGCCAAGGAGTACCCACGAGGACTTTTGTTCTTGTTTTTTTGAGACAGAGTCTCAGTATATAGCAGAGCCTGGTAGCCCAGGCTTGTCCTGAACTTCCGATCCTCCTGCCTCTGCCTGGGATTACAGGAGTGTGCCACCACATCTGGTTCTATGAAGGCCTCTTTAAACTCATGAATGAGACTTGAACTCCTCTCTGGACCCTGACACCCCTTAGTAAGAACCCTTGAACCACCACTGGGGACTCCAGCGCCCTCCACACAAGTCCTAGAGAGCGTATTTCACTCCCTCACATATACACATGCCAAACCAGGGGATTGCTACCTGAAATCTCTCCCTCAAGGACCCTGCAGGCCCTGTGCACCCAGAACCCTTCCCCAGGACCCACTGAAGACAGTTTCACGCTCCACCCTTGACATGCAGCCAGGAGCTGGATGACCTCTCATGGTTCCCCTCCCACCTCCTCTGGGGTACCCTGGGCTCAGAAGCCCCTCTGTCTGAGGGGCAGAAGACACCTCCTTCTGGTGCCTGTCCCTCCTTCCTTTGTACCTGAGACTCCAGGATCTCTATCAAACCAGTATACTGGCCCTTGATTTAAGGTTATGAGGCTGGGTGTGTTAGCTCAAGCCTATAATCCTAGCTATTGGGAGGCAGAGATAGAGAGGATGGCAGTTGGAAGCCAGCCCTGGTAAAAATGTGAGACCCTACTAGAAATCATTCCAAAGGAAAAAGGGCTGGTGGAGTGGCTCAAGTGGTAGAGCACTTACCTAGCAAGGAGGAGGCCCTGAGTTCAAACTCCAGTATCAGACTCCCTTCTCTGAGTCCCCATTCAAGTGGGCTGAGGACCCTAACCCTGGGAAGTCCCTTCCCTGCTCCCACCACAGACCTGGAAAACCCCCCTGCAGCTGGGCTCTGCTTCTCTCCAGCCCTCCCCAGCCTCCAGCCCCCAGCCTTCCTTTGTCCTAATGTGGGCCGGGGAGGAGGCTGCTCCAGACTCCTGATTGCTCCTCTGGCTTTTGCCCCTCTTCGGTGCCCCATTGTGTGACCAACAAACCAAAGCCATAGGCAGCAGAACTAGGTGACTTCTCCCAGATTGGAATGAGGTGAGCTCCCCTGGGGCTTGCCCGCCCCACACTGCCTGGGCCGGCCTGACCTGCTTCTGGGCTTCCCTGGGTCACAGCTGCGTCTCTCTGCCTCTCAGATCCTGGCTTCTGAGAGGTCATCCCTGGCAGGTGAGGGGACCAGACACAAGACAGGCACACCTAGGCTGATATACCTACTCATGGCTAGGCCGTGGTGTCCTCCCTCAGCTGTGAACTGGGATAACAACAGTCCCTCCTTCACAGGAGTAGCCTGACAATGGACTCACCACATCCGGGCTTTAACTTGCTTAATTAGCATGACAGCTTTGTGAAGCAACTGCCATTATTGGACATGTATATTAGTGCTGAACTCTGAGGCCCAGAGAAAGTGCCCAGCTTGCCCAGGATCACACAGCTAGGAAGGTGTAGATTTGAACTAGGACCTCAGAATCTGATGCTTTTACCTAGCACCACACTGAGCAAGGGCTCACTGTCCAACTTGCATAGAAGCCCATACTGCTGTGGCACTGTTTTTTGTTTTTTTTTTTTTTTTTTGCAAAAAGAAAGAGCTGACAAGGGGGCAGAAGACAGCTCCCATCTGCCTCCCTGTCTGCTTGGCAGTGAAGGAAAAGGAGCACAGAGAGCTAGCTGGTGGTTGTAACCGGGAGCCAAGGCAGTGTAGTCTATAGCTGGTACTGGGTCCAGTGAAACTTGTAGATAATTCTGGACTGTCCTGCCACTGTTGCCTTCTAAGCCAGGCCCTCAAGGGCCTGTTCTGTTGGAGACTTTTCAGTTCTACCAAGCTGTTGAGATCATTTTAGGTCAGGTTCAAGTGTCCTAAAGCCTGCGTTCTTCATGTCCCGAAAACTGGCCTGAACAGTTTGTGGGAACAGGGAAGTTGGCTCAGTTTCAACACTTGGCATAAAAAGAGGTGTAATGTGTGTGTGTATGTGCAAAGAAGAACTTGGCTATGACAAAGATGAAGAGCGACAGCCAGCGGATGGAAGATTACTAAAAAGAGGCCTCAGGGTAGGGACTGGGGGATTCTTGCTAAACTTGGCTTAAATTTTGGTATTGTCTGTTTTTTTTTTTTATTTTTTTGTGGTGCTGGGGTTATCCTGGCTTCTTGGAGATAGGCTCTCACTTGTTGCCAAGGCCGGCCTGGACCACAGTCCTACTTCTCACCTCCTACTGCTGCTAGGATGGTGGGCGCACACCACCATGCACAGCTATTTTCTGTTGAAATGAGAATGAACTCCACACCCCCCTCCCTCCATGCTGGCCTCCCAAGTAAGTAAGATTATAGGAAAGAATCATGTTTGGCTGGATTGGGGGATGCTGGGGCATCATTTAAATAGGTACATGATAGATAGATTAGATAGATGGATGGATACATAGACAGACAGACAGATAGATAGAGCCAGGTGCTGGTGACTCACGCCTGTAATCCTTGCTACTTAGGAGACAGAGATCAGGAGGATTGCAGTTTGAAGCCAGCCCGAGCAAACCCTATCTCGAAAAAAAACTATCACAAAACAGGGCTGGTGGAGTGGCTCAAGGTGAAGACCCTGATTTCAAATGCCAGTACCTCACACAAGGACAGGAAGGGTCGGAGGGTGCCTGCCTAGCACTGACTCCTTCCTTTTTTTTTTTTCTCCTCTTTGTTTCTGTGGTACTGAGGTTTGAACTCAGAGTTTTGTGCTTGCTAGGCAGGCACTCTACCATGTGATTCTCCAGCCCTCTTCCTTCCTTTTTTTTTAGACATTTGATAAAGGGTCTCACTAGGTAGCCCAGGCTGGCCTCAAACTTGTCATCCTCCTGCCTCAGCCTTCCCCAGTGCTGGGATTACAGGCGTGTACCACCAGCAAGATTCTTGCTCAACACAGGCTAAGGATTTAGATATTCAGTGTGTGTGTATGAATTTAATTGGATACCAACGGTGTGGATTTCTTTTTCAGCAGCACTGGGATTTGAACTCAGGGCCTCATGCTTCATCAGCCTAAGAGTGGATTCTTAGGATTCTTGCTAAAACTGGGCCTAGTTGAGAATAGGGGGGGCTCAGAAGAGCCACACTGAAGTGGTGAAGGAGGGTGACTGTCAGTGCAGACAGCAGGTAATGCTATGGGACGTAAATGCAGCCTCACTTGCCACGTTGTTGGGGGAGGATCAGGAACACTGAACATATCTGGAGAAAACACCACTGAACGTCATTCAGAGACGCCTTCCCACAGTGGCCTACGTCTTGCAAGACCCAGCCCTGGGGTTGATCCAGGCAGCCCTAGGCAGCTGAGGCAGGGGTGGGCGATGAGGAGTCCTGCCCAGAACTGGGCATCTAGAAAAAGCAGCAAGTGTTACGCCGTTGTAACTGACTGTGTAGCTCAGTGGTAGAGCATGTGCTTAGCGCTTGCCGGGCCCTGGGTTTCTTCCCCAGCGCTGTAAAAAAAACCAAAAAACAGCAACCAAACAAACCCAAAAAGCCAGATTGTAGCAACTCTTCTGGGTTTATGAAGTCTCTTTTTCCAAATGAGGAAAGGGGCTCAGAGAGGAGTAACTTAGGCACAAGGAGGAAATGCTAAAACACTCTGGGACTTGGCTCTTCGGTGTTGTGAGTTGGAGCTCACAGGCCCCATTCTGTTCCAAATCTCATGGGTTTTTATTTATAAGGACTTTGTGTGATTTGCAAAGCTGCCTAGCCAGGCTGATGGAGTTTTTCCATCAAACAGGGCACTGTGGCACACACCTGTAATCCTAGTACCTGGGAGCTGAGACAGGAGGATTTGGGATTTTTTTTTTTGTGGCACTGGGATTTGAACTCAGGGCCTCAGACTTGCTAGGCAGGTGTGCTAATCTCTTGAGCCACCCTGCAGGCCACAGACAGGAGAATTGAGAATTTGAGACCAGCCTGGGCTACATAGCAAGGCCCTGTCTCAAAGAACTAAAAAAACAAAATAAAACAAAACAAAAACCCCAAACCAAGACAAAAAAATTTGTTTGTTTGCTTATATTTAAGTATACATTTTATTTTGGGTTTTGCTATGTTGCCCAACTTGATCTTGAATCCATGGGCTCAAGTGATCTTCCTGTCTCAGCTTCCCGAGTAGCTGGGACTACAGACATGTACCACTACACCCAGCTAAATCTCTAGGATTGGAGTTGTGAGTGATAAGCTTCAGATTAACAGTAGCTTAAATAAGATGGAAGTTTATGTCTTGCTCAGGTTGGGTACATTCAGTCCAAGACTAAAATGATGCTAGAGGTCATAGTCTCAGCCCCTTTTCAGCAAAAACTCCTGACCTCCACCATAACTCTTCTCTTCACGATTTCTCTTTCCAACATTTCTTCATGATGCAAGATGGCTGCTCAACTCCAGCCTTCATGTCTGTGCTCCAGCTAGCAGGAGGAGGGAGGAAAGAAAAGAGACTTGTGTCTTCCAGACTTTTCAGCTCTTTCCTGGAAGTTGCTTGATTCTTTTGCATATACCTCACTGGCCAGAAATTAGTCACACATCACATAGCTGCAAGGGAGGCACAAAAGTATTTATTCTAGTTGTCCACCTAAAACCTGGGGCCATCCTTTCATTTTTTTCCCCTCTTTTTCATGCTCCTGCTTCTGCTTCCTGAGTGCTGGGATTACAGGTGTGAATTACCACATACAGCTGTCTTTTTCTTTCTTTCTTTCTTTTTTGCAATACTGGGGTTTGAACTCAGGGCCTCATGTTTGCTAGGCAGATTCTTTTACCACTTGAGCCATGAACCTTTTTTTGTGTTGGATATTTTTGAGATAGGGTCTTCTCTGCCTCCTGAGTAGCTAGGATTACAGGCCTGATCCACTGGTGCCCTGCTTCGGTGTTTAATATATCCACACTTTATGATGGACCACAGAGCTAGATCTGTCGAGTTTGGATGAGACAGTTAACTGTGAATGGAAACCAGACCCCCACCCCAGCCAGATCTCTGATTCTTAGGTTTGATTTACGTGGCATATAAAAAGAGATTTTGGGGGTGGCAGTACTGGGGATTGTACTCCGGGCCTTAGCTTGTTACCCCTTTAGCCACACCCCAGCCCTTTTTTGCTTTTGAGTTTGTTTTTTAGAGTCTTCCTACTTTTGTCTGGGCAGGCCTGGAACTGAGGTTTTCCTACTTCTGCTTCTTGATTACGGCTGGGATTACGGGCATGTACCACCACACCTAAAAAGAGATTTTTAAATTACACTTTACAGAAGTGAGTTAGCCTCAGCAACACCTGAATTTCCCCTTGTCATGTTTCTGTTTATAGAACTCAGAGCCACACTGACTTTTGTTGCCACGGCCCTGTGGGAGGGTGGGGTGAGGGGGCTTTCTGATGTTTTCTTTATTATTATTATTATTCATTTATTCACCTGTGCATACATTGTTTGGGTCATTTTTCCCCCCTGCCTCCCTCTCCCACCCCTGATGTTTTCTTGAAGCTTAAATTTTTTTTTTTTGAGGTGCTGTGGATGGAATGCAGAACCTCACACTTGTAAGGCGGGTGCTGTGTCACTGAGTTATATCCCCAACCCTCCAAGTGTGGCTTGTCACAGCCAATTCATAGTAGAGATAACCTAGGCTCTGTGCCAGGCAAAAGCCTGGACCCTTCATTCATTAATTTAACAAGTATTGATTGACTGCCCCTGTGATCTATGCCTATAGCAGTGACAAACCAGACAGAATCCCTAGAATAACCTAGAATTGACACTCAAGTGGGAATCAGCAACCAAATATGTAAACAATGAGCCCAGCATGGCAGGGCACAGCTGTAATTCCAGCCACTCCGGAGGCAGAGGAAGAAGGGATCATTAGTTTGAGACCCTGTCTCAAAAACAAAAAATGCAAAAGGCAGCTGGGAATGTGGCTTGAGTGGTACAGCGCTTGCCTAGCAAGCATGAGGCCCTGGACTCAGTCACCAATACTGAAAAAAAAAAAAAAAGGAGCAGTGTAGCGGGAGTGTTACAAGAGTGTTACAACATCAAATCAGGTGGTGGGGAAGGCATTACTGAAAAGGTTACATGTGAACAAAGGCCTGCAGGACAGGAGGCTGTGGATACATGGAGAGGGTGTTCTGTTCGGTGGGGGAAGGAACAGCCAGGACAAAGGCCCTGAGGTGGGATCCTGCAGCCCTGTTGGGTCACGTGGGGTTTCAGGGGTAAGGACCAAGACCTTGTCCTTTATTCTGAGTGAGACGGAGCTGGCGCCACAGTTGGGCTCTGAGCAGGGAAGGTTGTGATCTGGATCAGGTGTTCATAGTCTCCCTCTGACTGCACAGACTGGGGTCCGGGAGGAGGGGGGAGGCCCAGGAAGAGGCTGGACAGGACAGTGCCACAGGTGGGGGCTGTGGACTGGGTGGGGGAACTGTTGGAAGGTTGAGATGACAGGCTTCCCTGACAGAGGGCTGTGGCAGGAGCCAAGGCAAAGATGAAGCCAGGCCGGTGGCCTGCTGTGCAGTGTGTCAGTCATTGAGAAAAAAAACGAGTTTATTTGCAAAATGGCCAAGCTTGGAGGTGGGAGGGCGAAGTTCAAATCTGCCTCCCTGCACTGGAGGTGTGGTTCAAGCAGTAGAGTGCCTGCTTTGCAATCTCAAAGCCCTGAGTTCAAGCCCCAGTCCCACCAGAAAACAAAACAAAACAAACAGGGTGATTTGAGGCGAGGGGAAGAGCAGAGGAGACATCATGGATTAATCTTCACAACTTCTTGTAGCACGCACGTTCAGGAAATGGCAGTGTTAGCATGACTGCAAGGTCGCGTTTTTGGCCTCCTGACATTGAATATCACCCGTCTGACACTTGCTCAGGCCCAGGCAAAGCCAGTGGCTTCAACAGAAGTGGCTTTCAAGTTCCTGCAAAGTCACCCAGGCAGAGGTGTTTTAGTGATTTTTTGGTTTTTTTCCCCAGCAATGCCGTGGATGGAGCCCAGGGCCTTGCACATGCTAGGCAAGAGACCCACCACCGAGGCACACCCCAGTCCTCCAAGTCAGTCATGCTGTTGTTTTTGGTTTTGAGGACCCCACTATGTAGCCCAGGCTGGCCTGGGACTTGTGATCCTCCTGCCTCCACCCCTGCTGGGGTCACAGGTGTGTGCCACCACATCAGGCTAAAATCAGAGAATTTTTTTTTGGCTGTGCTGGTGTTTGAATTCAGGGCCTTGAACTTGCTAGGCAGGTGCTCTACCACCTGAGCCATGCCCCAGCCCTTTTTTTTTTGCCTTTATTTATTCTTCAGATAGGGTCTCACACTTTTGCCAGGTTGGCCTCTGACCATAATCTGCCTACTTACAGCCTCCCAAGTAGCTGAGATTATAGGTACATGCCACCATACTGGCTTGTGTTGATGGGGTCTTGCTTTTTTGTCTGGAACTGCCATCCTCCTGATCTTTTCCTCCTGAGTAGTTAGGATTACAGGTGTAAGTCACTGGTGCCCGACGAGTTCAGAGGATTTGTTTAGGGTTTCCCTTGGCTTCCAAAGAATAACGGCTCTTGGAGAGAGCTGTAGACACCAGCACCTGGGCCAGGAGAGGCTGTGAGAGGGGCGAAGTTGGGGAGGACACTGGGTCTCAGTGGAGGTCCCAGTGGGCAGGAGGATTCATCCTCGCCCCACAGGCTATGGCTACACCACACCACTGACCGATGCAGGCAAAGCCTTCTCCATCGCCTTCGCGCTCCTGGGTGTGCCAGCCACCATGCTGCTGCTGACCGCCTCGGCCCAACGCCTGGCACTGCTGCTGACCCACACCCCCCTGTCTTGGCTGAGCTTGCGTTGGGGCTGGGACCCCCGGCGGGCAGCCCGCTGGCACCTGGTGGCCCTGCTGGGAGTCGTTGTGGCTGTCTGCTTCTTGGTGCCAGCTGCGATCTTCGCCCACCTTGAGGACACCTGGAGTTTTCTGGATGCATTCTACTTCTGTTTCATCTCTCTGTCCACCATTGGCCTGGGTGACTATGTCCCTGGGGAGGCCCCCGGCCAGCCCTACCGGGCCCTTTACAAAGTGCTGGTCACAGGTGAGCTGGGCACCTGATGGTGGCAGACTGTGAGGAGGACGGGGCCCTGTCCTGCAGATCTGAGCCCCATGCGGATCCATTGTCCCTCTTCCTTGTCTGCAGTGTACCTCTTCCTGGGCCTGGTCATCATGGTACTGGTATTACAAACTTTCCGCCACGTGTCTGACCTCCACGGCCTCACTGAGCTCATCCTGCTGCCCGGCCCGTGCCCCTCCAGACTCGGTGAGGATGAGGATCAGGTGGACATCGTGGATCCCCAGCCCGAGCTGCACCAGCACCTCTCTTCCAGCGCCCACGCCGACTATGCCTCTATCCCCAGGTAGCCAGGCAGGGGCTGCCAGGCTTGGAGGGACCTGACCTTGGCTGCGGGACCCAGGGGGCTGATGCTGACCGAACACAAATGTGCACACCCGGGTGTGAGCAAGGCGTGGTAACACACCATCCACCCCGCGGGAGGCTGGAGGCAAGGCTCGGCCACTCTCTAAGTCCTGGGCTCCTCTGGGCACCAGGACCACCTGATTCTTCTTTTTCTCTCTTGTTCCCTCACACTCTGGCCTCTCTGGCTTCCTGCCTTTCTCCCCGTCTCTGTCTTCCTCTCTTGCTGGCCCCTTGTGACTTGTTCTTTTCCATTTTCTTTCCATTTTCATCACTTGCTACTTCTACCAGGCTCTGGGGCTGTACCTCTTTTCTGACACTAGATCAGTGGCTCTTGTGTTGGACAAGTGACCACGCCTCTCCGAGTCTTGATCTTCTGAGCTGTCAGATGCAAACAAGGCAGCCATTCCTCCAAACACCCTTCCTTTGGGCTGGCCTTGTGCCAGACTATGCCAGCGTCATAGTGGTGGTAGGGGAGGGTCTCTACCACGTGTCCCCAGGTAGTGACAATGAGCAGGACTTCACTGGGGAACTCAGAGAAAAGGAGAGGCAGGGTGGGCATGTGCCCTGTGCAGCTTGGAAGGTCATAGAGGTCTTCCTGGAGGAAGGGGTGGCTGGGCAAAGACCTGAGGAGTGGTCGGGAGAAGAATCTTCCCGTCTCACTTTTCCCAGGTGTGTCCAGGGAGCAGGGCCCCAGGCAGAGAGCCCCGGGGTGGCCTGCTGACAGCATGTTCCTCAGGACTCCAGTCCAGATACAAATGGCAGGTGCTCTTAGCACCACCCTACTGTCACAGCTGTTCCTGTTTACTGAGCACTAATTGCCTGGCGTGTCCCAGACTCTGGAGCCAGCCTGCTCGGGCTCACGTCCCCACGGGCTGTGCCTTGGACTCTACCTTTCTAACTCTGTTTCTGTGAAAAGGTGACTAACATGTCACAGAACCTGCAGTGTTGTTCTGTGACACTGTGTTTGGCCAAACCCTGGGTACTTTACACAGGGAGATAATATTTATCATCCCTTCTGCAGATGAGGAAATAAGTATGGGAGAGGCGGTACCTGATAGTCACCAAGTGAGGAAGTGATTGACTTTAGATTTACCTCCCCCAAGAGGGTCTTTCAGCACTATCCTTACTGCCAAGGGCACCTCCTCTGAGTGCTGTGGAGGTCACAGAAGGGATTGGAGCCAGGCCTTGGTGGGAGATGTGTTGAAGAGGCATGGGGAAGGCACGCCAGGCAGAAGGCACGTGCAAAGGCCCAGAGGTAGTAACGGCACGCTGCGCAGCAGCTTTTGGAAGTGGCTCACTGCGATGAGAGTAGGAGTGAAGGGTAAGGAAGGGGGTAGAGTCAGTGTCCTTGGGTGGCAAGTGTGGGACCCTGGCCACTGCTCCAAGGGCACAAAGGAGCCATGAGAAAGATCATGAGAGGACCCCTCATGATCCCAAAATGGCTGCCACAGATCTGGGAATCACAACCTGCTATAATTTCTAGCACAAGCAGTGATTTTCCACCAATGCCCTGATACCAGAGAGAATCACTTACAAAAGCGAAGAGTTGTGCAGGAGACACAAAGAGTAATAAGAAAACCAGGAAGGCGGAGAGCATAGAGAAGTGAGAATTTTAAGGAGGAACTCATTGTTGTCAAACCACACTAAAAAGTCACAGGACTGTTTTAATAACAGTGATAGAAAATACATAGGAGTCACTGTGTTCCAGGTGCAGTTCTAAGCCCTTGATATGTTGAACACTGTTAATTTTCAACATTCGCCATGTTTTACAAATGAGGAAAGGAGCCCAGAGAGGTTAGGTAACTTGCCCAAAGTCACACAGAGAGTACAAAGCTGGGATTTGAGCAGGCTTTTGGCTGTTACATCCACGATCTAGATCTTTCTCAGCCTCCCAGTTTTTTTCCTCCTTTGGTGCTGGGGGCGGAACCCAAGACCTCACATGCCAGGCAAGCGCTCTACCACTGAGTGTCACCCCAGTCCCATTCTTGGCTTCTTACCAAGATCATTCTAGACCTAGTTGCCAAGATCAGGATCAGCCCGAGCTGGGGGAGGCAGCTGCTTTTCACCTTCCTGAGGTGCCTGTGCATCTGGCTTCCCGGATCCCTGTTTCTCTGTCCAGACTTCCCTAGAGTACCAGGTCAGGTTCAAGGTACTCAGAATGAAACAGAACAGAAAATGGTGTGCTACAAATTTCAAAGGAGTTTGGGGATGTAGTTCAGTGGTAGAGTGCATGCAAAGCGAGTTCAAGGCCCTGGGTTCTATCCCCAGCCTCCCCCATCGCAAAAAAAAAAAAAAGAAAAGAAAAAAAGAATAAAAAGGGGGCTGGGGGTGTGGCTCAGGTGGAGTGGCAAGTGAAAGGGTCTGAGTTCAAATCCCAGTAACATCAAAAAAAGAAAAAAAAGTATTAAATAGAAAAAGAGCCAAGCACTGATGGCTTATACCTGTAGTCCTAGCTATTTGGGAGGCTAAGATCAGGAGAATCAAGGTTTGAGGCCAGCCAGGGCAAATAGTTCACAAGACCCCATCTCCAATATAACCAGAGCAAAATGGACTGAAGGTGTGGCTCAAGCGATAGAGCGCCTGCTTTTGCAATTGCGAAGTGCTGGGTTCAAACCCCAGTTCCACCAAAAAAATTAAATAAATAAATAAAATCAAAGGTCCAAAGCAACATACAGTAGAAAGCAAATCTTTCTCCTGCACTCAACCTGTGTCAGTTGACTTCTCAGGTCTCTTTCCAGCAATATGCGCATGTGTGTCATTTATTGTCACTCTATGCAAATGGTGAGGGGGATATGACTCTGGAGGGAAATCCTGGGGATAAGTCTGACCTCTGTTCCTTCCGAGCTGTGTGACTTTGGGCAGGGACTTCATTGCCCTATGCCTCAGTTTGCTCGTTTGTGGAATGGGATGCAAACAGACTACCTCACGGCCTCTAGTAGTCATTGACTGAACGTCCCGGAAGGCCTTAGAACAGCGCCTGGACTCAATACAACACTGCCTAATCGTTCTCTCATTTCTGTACTTTGCTTCTTCAGATTATAGATTAAAAGAAAATATTAACATTTTAATATCATCTGTTATAGTGTCATTATGCACCATTAAAAAAATAGTACTGTGATTGAACCCAGGGCTTCAAGCTTGCTAGACAGGTGCTCTGCCATTTGAACCATATCTCCAGCCCTTTTTCTGCTAGTTACTGGAGAAAGGGTCTCGTTTTTTTCTCCAGGCTGGTCTTGAACCTGCCATCCTCCTGATCTCAGCCTTCCAGTAGCTAGGATTACAGGTATGAGCCACCAGTGTCTGACAGCCTGTCTTACACATCCTTTTTTATACTTGCAGTGCCCCCTCTAGGTCATGTACCTCACCATTTGATGAATGTGCATGTGGTTTCATCTTTGTTTTTATTTTTGAGACAGACTCTCACTCTGTAAGCCCAGGTTGGCCTCAAACTTGCAACCCTCCTGCCTTAGCCTCCCTAGTGCTGGTGCTGGGATTACAGGTATGTACCACTGTGCTCTGCAAAGATTCGGCAATTGTGTGTGTGTGTGTGTGTGTGTGTGTGTGTGTGTGTGTGTGTGTGGGGTCCTGGGGATAAACCCAGAGCCTCATGCATGCTAGGCAGGGGCTCCACCACTGAACCACACTCCCACCCCTTGTTTCACTTTTGCTGATAAAATAAACGTGCAGTGATCAACTTGCACATCAAGATCTAATAAGCCGGGCACCAGTGGCCACGCCTGTCATCCTAGCTACTCAAGAGGCAGAGATGCAGGAGAATCGCGGTTCAAAGCCAGCCCGGGTTGTTTACAAAAGCCTATCTCAAAAAATACCCAACACAAAATAGGGCTTTGTGTTTGAGCTTCTGATGTGGCTCAAGTGGTAAAGTGCCTACCTAGCAAGTGTGGGGCCCTGAGTTCAAACCCCAGCACCACCAAAACAAAAATAAAACCAAAAAAACTAACAAAGGCACTCCCTCTCCAGGGGCTGCAGTGTCCAGCAGAGGGCACCATTAGTTGAATCTAGAAGGGTTCAAGTGCATGGCTGTTGATTCTTTCCTCAGCTGAAGTTGCCCTTCCTGGCTTGTGGGGAAGGGTGGAATGGAAAGGATGGACTTTCATCAGGACACCTATTCTGTGCTGTGCTGGTCAGGGTTGGGGAACAGTGACAAAAAGGTCCAGGCTGTGCCTTCACAGAATATATGATCCACTGTTTGAAAAACACTGGCTTAATGTCACGTTTATAGTTCGTCAAAAGTGATCTAAGCTGGCCTGGTGGTGCATGGTTGTAATCCCAAGAACTCAGGAATCTGAGGCAGGAGGATCTTGAGGATAGCCTGGGCTACATAGTGAGACCTTTCTCAAAAAACAAAGCAAAACAAAACAAAAAAAACCAACCAAAACCATGATTGGTGATTGGGGGGTGGAGTTTTTCATCTCCTGAGGTTTGCTTTTTGGGGGAGGGCAGTACTGGGGTTTGAACTCAGGGCCTCATGCTTGCTAAGCAGGTGCTCTACCACTCAAACCACTCTACCAGCCCTGTTTTGTGTTGGGTATTTTCAAGATAGGGTCTTGCAGACTATTTGTCCTAGGCTGGCTTCGAACTGTGATCCTCCTGATCTGTGCTTCCTGAGTAGCTAGGACTACAGGTGTGAGCCACTGCTGCCATCTCCTGATGAGGAAGTAACTTTTAACAAATGTGGCCTTCAAGTCCCCCTAAAATAACCTAGGCAACCATTATAGTAATGACCCACACATCAGAGATTTTATCTGTAGCAAAGTTAGTGGGAGACTAGTAATATACTTCTGAGTTGTGTAACCTCTAAAACTAGTCATTTTTTGAATTCCCATCACTGCAAATAATACATAGAATAATAAATGAAATTAGCGACCTCAAGACACAGCCAAAAGCAGTCAGGTAAGGTTGCATACATGTGTAATATCAATATTTAGGAGGCTGAGGGAGGAGGATTCAAGACCAGCCTGGGCTACATATCCAGACCCTGTCTCAAAAACAAAAATAAAGGCAAAAAAATCAACTGAAAGCAAGTAACTAAATGCAAGTGGAGTTAGAGGTTTTTCTGGTTTTCACTTAGTTTCGGAAGACAGTAGCACCTCATTGCATAAAACCATTCCCATGTGCTGAGCAGAAGAGACTAGTTTAT